CAGTGGGGGCAAGCCAGAGCCCGGGGCGCGGAGGACGGTGGGGCTGGCCCAAAGGACCGGAAGAACCACTCGGCCTTCTTCACTTTAAAGTGCTGCCCATAGGCTGTCAGGAACTCGTCCATCTGCTTGTCCAGCTCCTCCTTCAGCTCCTCCAGGGCCGCCTGTTTCTCGGGGTCCTCACCCCGCAGTTCCCCCCCGGCAGCGCTCCAGCAGCTCCTGGCGTTTCCCCTCCAGGCGTCACTGCATTTCTGCAAGCTTCACACTCAGGCAGCGGCGCATGCTCTGGTGGCCACGGTCCTGTGGGGAGCGAGAGAGATTGGCCATTAGGGACGGGTTCTAGTGTTTCCCAGCCACAGGGGGCACCACCATGTCATGCATCCACAGCCCCTTCAACTCCGACCCACCACAGCCCCCTGCTATCCCATCCCTGCCCCTCCGCCCCCCAGCTCTGCCGGTGACCTCACTCCCGACCCGCAGCCCTTCTGTGCTCACCAGCTGCTGCACAAATTGTTCATATTTCCTCCTGGAGGCTTCTACTGCTTTTCTGTTTTCCTCCTCCATCATCGCTGCCATCTGTGGTGGGATGGGAAAAAAGGTGGGGGATGGGGATGGAACCATCTCTGCACTGGGAACTCCTCTCCCCCCACTCACCTTTTCCCCATTCCTCCAGGGCCCTGCTCGCTACTGTCACCTCCCCACTGCCCCCTGACCCCCCACATTCCCCCAGAGCCAGGGACAGCCCCCTAATGACATCACAGCAAAGGCCACATTAGCATCACCCCTGTGGAGGGGGCTGGTTCTCCGGCTGGGTCTCTGCGGGTTCCCTTATCTCTCAGGGGCTGGGGTCAGGGAGCCCCAATCAGGACATTTTGCAGGGGGCTGTCGTGGTGCCCCCTCCTGGCCTAGTGCAACTGACTAATGGCAGGAGGATCTGGGGTGAGAATAAACTGAAACTGTTGGTTTGGGATTTGGGGGTGTTCTAACCTCCCTAACCCCTTAGGATTGTTTTAAAATCAGTGGGGAAATGAGAGGAAATGCCCCCAAATTGTCCCCTCTACACACGCACTGAATCAGGGGAGGAGAAAATATTTAAAACAAACATAAAGTATGAAAATCAATTTTTCTTCCACTTTTGAAAATGAAAACCAAAAAAACTTGTGACCGAGGGATGCAGGGGGTGGCTCGGAGCACAGGATCTACGGCCATGTTATTTATA